AAATAGAATTTCGTTTACTGTACCCCGTCATCACCCCTATTATACTGTCAAATACCCTATTGTATAAGAGAGGTAGGGCATAGATGATTATCCGCTCGAATTGGGCGCCCGTCTAGGGAAGTAACCTCCACCTTACAGAATACCACAGTAAATAAAATTACCTTTTGGTGGTGTTGTGTTTCTGTCGATGAGTAAGGTAACCTCCGCGGAGAAGAGGATTAGGTCAGGGTAGGCATCGGACCGAGTGATATTTTTTGTATCGCAAGTGTCTATAGCCTGTGCTATGGAGGCCGCTTACCATCAGGCGGGCCATATGGTTGTTTGCCACCCTTTTAACATAAAAAATGATATAATATGTACACTTTATGGTTTACAGTCTCACTAACGACCCGGCCGGCTACCCACGGATGCAATATATCAATGAGATATTGAGAAGTTTTGAAATTGTAAATGTATATATTCGGTATGAAGTTTCTATATACATAGAAACTTCTATATACATAGAAACTTCATTCCGAATATATAACTGTTTCTACTGAATATTTTAAAAATAATTTTCACACAATCTGACAAATATTTAAGAAATTATCGAATTTAGTGCAGTCTTTCGAGAGTTAACGCTCGTGCTTATACTTATACATTTCGGCTATTCATTATTATTACATAGATAGACAGAGCTTACTCTTTACAAAATGTTTAACCATTTATTATTATAGTTTTGAATAACTTAAAATACCTCTGCTATTAAAGTAATTCCTTATTTAAGTGCTTAAAATAGTATTTTGTTTGTTCTCTAGATTTGAAATTATGAAGTAAATTTATCTGTTGCAAAGATTTTCTACTACTGACTATGTATTATTATTTTTACTCTTTAACACAAAATGTTAGCATCATCATCATCAACAGCCTATCCTAGTCCACTGCTGGACATAGGCCTCTCCAATTGCACGCCACTCAGATCGATCTTGGGCTACTCGCATCCAGCTCCTGCCAGCCACCTTGCGCAAATCGTCACTCCATCGTGCTTGAGGACGTCTTACACTACGTTTGCCTAGACGCGGTCTCCACTCCAGATCTCCAGAACACAAAATGTGTTATAATTTATTTTTGTATTTTATAATTTATTTTGACGACCTCCTTGGCCGAGTGATTTGTACGCCGGGTTTCATGGTGTCGCTGACTCGAGAGGTCCCGGGTTCGAATCCCGGTGGGGGCAGATGTTTGTGTGATGAATACGAGCATTTGTCCTCCAGTCATGGATGTTTAATATGGTATTTTCTAAATAAATATACTTATATATGTACACTATATGTATTCTATCCGTTACCCTAGAGCATCCCATAACACAAGCCTTATAGTGCTTACTTTGGGGCTAGGCTAATTGGTGTGAGTGTTGGCAATATTTATTTATATATATTTGTATGGATCATGCCGATTCACCAATAAAGGTTATATGATAAAGAAGAAAGAAATATCATGTATACCATACCTACATTATATGCATGCATAGCTGTGTCTACGGGGTAGAGTAGGTAGCTCGTCGAATGTTTTTATTAAATTTCAGACTTGTTTGGCGGCCTATTTGTGCCTGATATGTATTCAACGCTTGAGGTATTGTTATTCACCAAGACAAAAATAACAGCCTCGCGATCGTATTCATGAAATCGATCACAATTTCCTTGCTAACAGTACGTGAAGCATTATTGTGATGTCTTTTCAGGAAAAATATGTGGAATAGGTATCCGTTCTATAAATGAGGAGCTGGCGAACGAAACGGTATAATTACAAAAAATAAAAATTTTCAGGAGCTGTATAAAACTGAATGACATACCTCCAGTGAGATTTTGGCATGGTTTTTAATTTATATAATTAGTAATTTTAACCCTGTTTTAAGCGGTTTTGATTGAAAATTATTTGAGATTCAAATTCAACGGGCCCGAAACCTCCGGACTGTAAAAAAAAGTAGTTTAACCAGATGCGTAATTATATCGCTTTGTTCGCCAGCTCCTCAAATTTCAAACGCAACTCAAGTCGGATAGTTTAGACCGCATACATGATCGAAATTACGTAAGTGTTATATACTTCGCGTGCCAAAAGGGTGACCACTGGTTACCCTTTTACGCTAATTTCTTTCTTCGCGTTAGCGTTCTCGATTCCGGTCGTCAATCGTAATGTTTAAAAAATATCTACCTACTTTGTCATATTAAGCTTTAAAAACAATGTACTTAAGTGAAATTGGTGACCGGGGCCCATGCTTCTTCACCTATTTATTTGTTCCCGTGAGTACCTACTCAAAATCTGACACGCTCGGTTTCCATACAATAGGCTTAGCCTAAGACAATAGGGATGATGACTAATTTTTTTTTCTTCGTTTATCAGGTAGATTATCAAAAAGTATTGGACACGTATTTTTTCTTTCTTCACATAATATAAACATTGCAGAGATATATTTATTTGAAAAGTCGCATGACGTCACGTTTTGGTACAATTTTCACTTAGAAGTGACGTCACGAACCCCTACTCCCAAACTTTGATGCGCTTTATCTTTGTCATTTTTCGGTTGATTGCCCAAAGAAAAAATACGTGTCCATTATTGTTTGATCATCTAACTGACGGTCTAAATAGAATTTCGTTTACTGTACCCCGTCATCACCCCTATTTAGAAGTACATGCGGCGTCTACTTCGATCTAGGTCTAGAATTAGTTACTCCATGTTTTGTCTCTGTCCATTGAATGACAAATGGCATTTGAGTGACATGAACAAAACACGGCGTAACTAGTCTTAGATTATTCATTGTATATTGATAGGGGGTTAAGATATATTAATGTCATGACGATGACAAATAAACAGGCCATCTGTCCTTCGTAACAGTAAGCAGCAGCTATCGCAATCTGTAGACGCCTGCAAAAGTCGAGCCATCCTGGCGGACCTTTTACGGAACCATAGCAGGAGTCCGGAGTTCGGGGTCAGTAAATATTAATAAGTGTAATGAAAGTTATTACTAAAGTGTTTTATAAAGCGCGGTCTAAATGAGAGATTAATTTGGTATACACTATCGACAACACTGGACACTGACTCTGGCAATCAATACAATGAAAATTGTACGTTGTATGTAAGGGTTTGCGCATACTTAGTCTGATATGTTTAGTTTTGTCGGAGTTAAGTGTAAGTAGATGCTGCTGCAGTCAATTTTTTTACAATGTTAAAGCCTTTTTGTGTACATTTCCACCTCAGAACTTGCAGAAAATAGTGAGACAGTATCATCTGCAAAAGAAATTATTCTGCCACTTTCCAGTTCCGTCGTTTAGTATTATTCCGTTTCGTTTAGTATGGCCCCAGCATAAAAGTGTACGACCACAACAGGACATTGGGCAAAAATGTATGGACGCTGCACCCACGTCCGCCACGACTTAATCTACATTTGTTTGAAAGGTATTATAGGATCATTTGTGCTAAAGCGCATCGAATTCCACCCCGGGAGTCTTTAGTTATTTTAAGTTAAATAGGTACAAGTACTATAACGAACGAACATTAATGAAACAAGGGAATTAATTTAGTTTGTTAGTTCGATGCTACATAGGCGGCTCAGATATTATGGAAGTACTTCACAAGGTTCAAGGGTGCCCCCTTATGTTATTCTGCCGAACTAGAGTAAATCCAAAAATCCCCGCATGGGTTGGGGTTTTTTCAAACACTCTGTTCGTTTTAGTAAATTGTCTTCTTTGTAAAACGGAACGACCACAAATCACGAAAACTTGTCCGCGCTTTCAAATTGAGAAAACATTCCAGTTCATCCATACTAATTGACAAAACCGATAATTGTGTTCCAATGTCCAAAGCGTGTTAGATAAAAGTCAATCAAGTGACAGGGAGCGCACAATCACAACGAAGTAAGACGAGTCGACTATTTGTAACTGCAAGTCCTCCAACCCCCGTAAACCGTTTTGAGGTGGCTCAGTAAGTGCAAGCGCAGGATGGATCGGCACGCTTTGTCCTATATCTGGTTGTATAGTACGATATGGCATATTATTATGGTTACTAATAATATAAAATAACGGTAGTATAAAATGAATTTATTTAGCTACTTAAATATGCCCATGTGTCATATCTTTTCACTACCAGGATATTTTTTACGGTGTCATAATAAAAAAGGCTAGTTTTTCATAGATCTACCGATTCATACTAATTACATTGTTGGCGGAGCTGGGTGCGTTTTGTCCTTTATAAGAAACACTGAAATATTCCCGCGCTCTCCCTTCTAGTTGAAGGGAGAACATTATCTCACCAACTAATATATAACGCCACCAAAAGGTAGTAGGTATTATTTCACTGTGGTCCGTTAGGTTTCCCGCAGAAAATGTCCAATGCTTTTAATACGTCTGTTATGGTAAATAACGTTGCATTGGTTAAATATCAAACCACCATGTAGAACAACGTGATTTGAAAAGTCACGTGACGTGAATGGGAAGATTTTGACGGATGTCTACGTAGACATCCATCAAAATCTTGTTTTTTAAGTTGCCCTATGTTTGAAGATTTTATTACAGTTCAGGATGTTTAGATGGAGAGTAACTGTTGGTACTTACTTCTAGCATATATTATAGAGAGCATAGCTGATTATAGCTTGAGCTAACATTATAACCCGTCCATATAATGAATTAGATCATATCTCCATCTTTCAGAACATCACAATAAAATAACACAACCTCCTGGTGATGTTCTCTTTCTTTTAGTGAATAGATCCAGGGCTCTACGCTAATGGATTCAGTAGGTCTAATATATTTTTTTAATTGTTTATGTGTGAGTTTACGCACATTTTCTTAGTTGGCGTAACCATCAAATTCGTGGTAGACGAAGGTGAGCATGGACATTCTTCTGCCACTTAAGCTGTGTTCAAAACTGGACTTGACTCACATTTAATATGGGGGTAATTAGTTACGCCTTGTATAAAACAGAACTAAAATTATCCTTTCAAAAATCATCAAACATTTAGACTTACCAGGCTGGCAGTAGCATCGGTACTGCGGACCGTCGATGTCATTGTCCGTTTGCTCCACGCATATGCCCTTAACACAGGGGTTGGACGCGCACGCGCCGCCGGCTACGGAGAGCTCGCAGCGCACGCCCGCCCACCCATCCGAGCACGAACAATGGTAGCTGGCCGAGCCGTTCATACTGATGCTCATACACAAGCCGCCGTTGAGGCAGGGTGACGTGTAACATGGATCCATTTCGCACCTTTTGCCCATGTACCCTAAGAAACAAATCAATAAAAGAGATAGTGCAAGTTTCCTATTTCAGGTTTTAGATGAGAAATAATAATGGATTACTCTTTCACTTGATCTTCCTCTGTGAACAAACCGAAACTCAACCAAGCATGATAGCAATTCTGGCGCAATCTCCGGTCGGTTATAGCGGTCGTCAATATCATGATGAAATTATATTATGTACTTTATAGACAAATGCAGAGGAAATTTGTTGGTTCCTAGACCTACGTATACTTATAAGGGGGATAAAAATTCAAAGGTAACTAGTTGTATAATTTTTGTGTAGCTTTATTGAATGTGATTCAAATTGTACAGTGTTTTTGTAATGTTGAACAGCAGTTTAATATACTGATCACGATGTTGTTTACACAATATAATTTATAATATGTTAATGCATTTGCATATTAGCCAAATCCATAAAATTGAACCTATTTAAGCTTTTTCACAATCAACGTTTTAAATCACGATAAAGTCGGTAAAATAAAATAAATAAAACATACAGTATCTTGATAAAAACATTGCAGAAACTCAAATAAATCGATTGCTTTTCATGATATAAAATTTATGGGAGTCTATGAAAAACTCGTTGAACTCACGTAATACCAAAGTCTCACAGAGAGATATTCAATTGATTGGAAAATCAGAACGGCTCTCCCTAGCTTACAAAACGTGGATTGAATTTTATTGCATATCGATTTGATGTAAATTAAAGAGTTGCTGAAAATATTTTTTTGCTTCAAAATAAATGTATACAGGGCGTCCCACGGCTACCTCACACGGAGAGAAAGCATATTAAATATTAAAGATAGGATATTTTACTGAAAGAAGACATCATTTCATTTTTGATAATAACTAGAACTGCATTCACAGATTTTTTTAAAAATCGACTGCTACAACTGGGAATCAAACTTGTGAAATTTCGAAAAAAAAATACGACATAATTTATTATCATAAATTATGTCGTATTCTTTTTTCGAAATGGTTATCACCATTGAAAGGGTTTATCATAAAGATTATATTTTACTAATTAACATAGCATTTTAAATGAAAAGAATATCTTATTACGTGATAAAAAGAATAAAGTGATATACTAGTATGTATGCATTTCTTTTTGAACTCAGTTACAATGCGATTGGCGGAAATTTGTAAAAATAATAATTCGAAAATAGAACACATACATTTTCAAGCGTCTGTACCTCTAGCACGAACCATTAACGAATTCGAATAGTTTGCGAGTGTGAAATGTCAATGTCAAATTTTGTATGGAAACTTATACAGCAGCACCACAAAGTACGTAACGAGAACTAAAAATCAGTACACATTTGACAATGACATTTCGCACTCTAAAACTATTCGAATTCGATATTGGTTCGTGCTAAGGGTACTGTTCTTTTTTTTGTGTTTTTCATTTTAGTTAAAAACCGGGTTCTCTTAATACATTTTTACAAAGGGAATCTAAATACAGAAAAAAAACTAGAAATACTTAATATTTTAAGAGGTAAAATCAATAATCTTCCTGCTGCAAATCGACGAAATCTCATTTTCCAGCAAGATGGGACTCATAACAGTAGGAGAACTGCCGAGTTTCTTAATGAACATTTTCCTTCCTGGATCGGTTCTTATGGACAAATAACATGGCCAGCGAGATCCCCAGATCTAACCCCACAGGACTTTTTTGTGGGGTTATGTAACAGATGTAGTATACAAGAACCGGTAAGACAGTGTGCAGGAGTTACAAAATAACGCAGACGTATTATTACAATCATTCACCACGCAAAGATAATGAAATCGATAGACAGAGAAAACATTAATAGAGTGAGAATTTGATCACATTTTGAACATTTGATACATTTCGTTTTTTATTACTTTTTGTTGAATATTTTTAATAAAATTATTACACATTTTGTTTATTTATGACTTTTCTTTCAGTTAATATGCTATGTTATTTAGCAAAAAATAATTGTAATGATTAACTCTTTCGATGGTTATCATAAAACATGTAGTGTTTTATTTTCGAAATTTCACGAGTTTGATTCCCCGTTTTAGCAGGCGATTTTAAAAAATTCACAGATTTTTTTGCAGTTCTAGTTATAATTAAAAATAAAATGATGTCTTCTTTCGGTAAAATATCCTATCTTCAATATTTAATATACTTTCCCTCCGTGTGAGGTACCCGTGGGACGCCCTGTATACTCAAAGTATATACTAAATGTATTATCAGAAGTTTTATTTTTAACACACAACAAGCTTCAAATTTATCTAATATTGTTAATAAATTTAGTTTTCCTTTCGTTCCTAATTCTTACATACTTACATAATTATAATAATGGGCACGTGGAAATGAACAATTCAGGGTCATATGTACCTAATATCAGAGAACTAGTTGATTCGTAGTTGTAATAAAATTAAACTACTCAATTTAGAATCTTTAGAGTTTCTTGAAATATCTTCCGGTTTTACTAAAAAATAAATTATATAACCGAATTTAAAGACACTCCTGAAAACAATAGAAATGCTCTTAAAATTACTACAATAAACTAACTTTGTCCTGCGATTCCTATCATATGATTTTACTAAACGTTACTACATATATGAATGCAGTGTAGACCGCACATTTATCTGGCTTAGTGGCGCTCTGTCGAAAACTAATTCAATTAATCACCACTGTGGCTGGTTGATTAAAATAATTCTGGCTTTTTTTCTATTAATTTCAACAATAAAGGAAATTGAAAATGTTGTTTTTTTAGTGACAATTTTTTATCATTAATAAAACAAACAATGATGTACACACATCATTGTTTGTTTCATAATAAAGAGCCATTAAGGTTTCATTATAAGAAATCTGAGAGCCCGGAAATAACATAGGACGGTTTATTCCCAATTACATTTAGTTTAAGAAATACCTACATGTTTATGTAAATTAAAGAAAATTTTCTCTACATGTATTATTTTTTTGGGTAACCTACTTTACAATATGTATTTTAACTTTTATAGCAATACCTAGACTTTGAAAATACTTACTTTTCATTGTATACTTGACTATATAAAATCAAATGCTTGATTATAAAAGAGGCTTTTCAACACGATGGCTACTTTATTTGTGGTCCTATTTTCAAAGAGATTCTTAGCTGTGAATGGCATCTTTTCCCTAGCATGAGATGAGCAATTATTAAAATACCACACAGTCTGACAGTGAGACGTGATGAAAACGTGCAATTATATCAAAAGCTGTGCATGTGCACAGGTTGTTTTAGCATGAGCTCCAGAGACTGCATTGAGGCTCCTGTTCGGGATCTTCCATCTGAAGATGGTTTCGGGTTATTTGCTTCTCGTGGGGGTGCGCCCCCACGGGGTTGGGTGCCACTCGGCAGCGGCCGTCTTGGTGACGAACCTTCTCTGGAGATTCTGCACTCGTCGGCATACTTACGACGAGGCTCCCGTAGCTTTTTCTGAGCCTTTTATCGCATGGGGCACCCCCACCTTTTATCGATACTCGACTATCGAACTCCACTGTAGTTTGACAACCAAATTCTTTAGTTCGTTTATTAAGTTGTCATGCTAGTGTAAAATCATGTAAAAAGTAATGTAACAGTGGTTATGTTAGGCTCATCGTGTACAATTAAACTTGAAAACAATTATTTTTGTCTCACCGTGAGGGCAGACACACTGGTAGTAAATGCCATCCACTGGCTGAGGCAGGTCGGCACAGCGGCCACCGTTCAGGCACGGCGAAGGGTGGCACGCGTCACGCTCCTCGCAGTGCGTGCCCGCGAACCCGGGACAGCATTGGCACTCGTAACCTTCCTGTACACGGCCACAATTAACAAACAATAAATATCACAGTTAAGGCCTGTTATAAACAGAGGCGATCTGCGGTTGCGGTTGCGGTCACGGTCAGATTCGGTAGTCACTACAATATGGAACATTTCAAATAAGCGCAGTAAGGACGCGATCAGTGTGCAGGCGCCCGGACTTCACACCCCTCTCCCCTTACCACCGCTCGTGTCTGTGGTGACCTTAACTGCATACAGTATCAAAAATAAGCTATCGTCATCGCACCAGTACCCTTAGCACGAATCATTATCGCATTCGAATAGTTGAACTCGATCTCGAATAAGCTTCAAATGTCGCGAAGTTTGTACTGCTGATTTTAAATATTCGTTACGTTGTGTTGCTATTCAAGTTTCGATAAAAAACTTCTTGACATTTCACACGTATCGAGATCGAATTCAACTATTCGAATTCGGTGTTGGTTCGTGCTAGGGGTACAGTCCGTACAGTATGATGTGAACCAAAGCGTGGAAGCGTTAATAGAAGCGTTAAATGCTAACTCGAACCATAAACCTAAATGAAATTTCACAAAGGTCAAATACCAACTGACGCGAGTTCTCAAACTTGTTACATTAAACGTTTCAATTATTTTTCAAAGACTAGTCTGATCGAAGTCAACCGAATATTATTACAATTTTACAGACGGCTCATGATAATAATTTATACAAACGTTGAAATAAAGTTAATAAAAAATAGCTTTTACCCATTATTGTTACATTAACATCATTAAAATATGTACCTATGTTTAAAATTACCCTGTTACTTAAACCCGAAATTATGGCCGAGTGGGTTGTACGCTAGGTTCCAAGGTGTCGCTTGCTCGACGGACCTCTCGAGCCGAGGTTCGAATCCCGGTGGGCCAAATATTTGTGTGATGAATACGAGCTTTTGTACTCCAGTCATGGATGTTTAATATATATATTTCTATATACATATACTTATATATGTATAAAATGTATCAATATATACATATATTCTATCCGTTACCTCGGTATCCCATAACACAGGTCTACAGAGCTTCCTTTTGGGGCTACGCTAATTGGCGTGAATGTTGGAAATATTTATCTATTTATTACAATTTATAGATAATCATCATTAAAGTATTGTATAATAATAGTAAGTACATTAGACATCTTAATGCAAACCCCAATCTGTGTTGCTTAATGTCTTATAAATCAATGGTTATGCATGACTATATCAGCGCTTAAGACACCTGCGTTTAGTATAGCCGCGTAGTGTAAACACAATAATACCAAAAGCGGTAATTAATCAGCGTAGGTTGGTACCATGGAAACGTTCGTGTAGCACACTCCCTTTCCGGAGCAGTCTTGTGAGTCTCCGCAGTTATCCGATTTCACTGTCACCTTCAAACGCACGCACTTAGAGCCCCAGTTTTCAGACACAACTGGAAACAAACATTTGTCATGAATGACAGTAGTAGCATCGAAAACGAACACGTTATTGTCACGACACCATATATCAAACACTCCGACACTCGGCATAGGATGTTTTATGAAGGATTACTCATGGGACTGACGGATCGCGTATCCCATGAATGGAGCTGTTTGTAAATGGGACATTAAAATGTTTTGCTTATATTTGTTTTCGCTTCCTGTTCACTCATGACAAGTTTTCATACAATAACTATTTATGCATTCACATAATAATTGTTTTATTTTACTCACTTAACTGACGTTCTAGTAGAAGTTCTGTATATATTAATGTACACATTCGTTAAATCTACTTTATTAAGTTATATTTATTGTCTTTTGATAATTACAATTCAACTGTAGCGACAGGGAAAACGTCTATATTATAAGGTTACACAGCGCTCTTCTTAACTTAGATACATAAATAGTATTGACAACATACGTCCAATTCTTATGCTTAATAAACTTTTTGATACCTATTAGCAGATTGACGCCTTCAGCCAGATCCTTATCGTAGAGTGTGAACAGTTTGGCACCTCCTTCGTCCAGTGGTGTAATGTCCAGCAGCATACCGTCGGAAACGTCGCAATGCTCGTGACCTTGCCGAGTCACTTGGTATACTGCAGGCTGAAGTAGACTGTGCTGCCTGCGAAATGATTGTTAATAACATTCTTTTCCATTTAAATCATTTTCATTGTTGATGAAATTTTCAGCATGTACACTAACAAAATTAAGCAACAGTATTCTAAGTTTTTTTTATGTTAAAAGGTTGGCATATAAGCGTATGACTCGCCTGATAGTAAGCGGCCACCATAGCCTACTAGAGCTTGCGATACCAAAATATATCACTCGCACAACGGTGCATTGGTATTAGGTCTACCTTGACCCAATTCCCTACCCCGTGGAGTTCTGGAACCTTACTCATCGACAGAAACACAACATCACCAAAAGGTAGAAGGGATGTAACTGTGATCTTCTGTGAGGTAGGGGTTACTTCCCCGGATGAGCGCTCCAATTCGAGCAGAAAAGTACCTTTTTTCTAATTATCTAAGAAATGTTTCGGCTGATTCCCTGATTGGCTTATTCAGTATGAAACGCAATAAGCAGCAGTACTCTAAGTAGGTACCTACGTTCTAATGTCATCTACTGATATGTATTCGAACTGATATTTTGCGCAGTATACACTATTGCAGTTATACTTGTACAAACGGTGCTGAAAGTATTTTAAAAAGTTTTTTTTAACTATGCATAGAAACAAAAGACATTGATTTCCCTTTTCATGTACTTAATTTAGCTATCCGAGTCCCTGTTTCATTTCTATTAATACTATGTATATCATAAACTACAATAGACGTGAATATGTGATAGAATAAAATAAATGATGATTAATGTTGTTACGGACTCAGATTTATTGTTGTGTAGGATAAAAAAATGGAACTCCTCGAAAAAGGCCGTTGATTAAAAGCCGCACCATCTACCTATACATATAATAAAATGGTAGGAAAGTCAAAACTGTACATTGAATATTTTTTTTAAAAGAATACTTAGGATGTGAACTACAATCGATACCGCAGCCAAAAATATAGTTTTTAGAATTTTTGTCTGTTTGTTTGTATGTATGTCCGGGATAAACTCAAAAAGCATTGCATGGATTCACTTCAAATTAGGCACGAATATTATTAAGAAGTCGGGTCAATATATAGGCTACATATTATCACGCTATCACCTACGACGACGACGAGTAGTGTGAACTTTTATTTCTAACTAATTAAACGCGTACAAAGTCGCGGGCGGCCGCTAGTATTTTTATAAATGGTACGTAGCATATATATTACAAAAACGTTTCAGACTTAATAGACATGAGTGGTGGACAACTTTTCTCGGCGCACAGTTCATTTGACACAATGGTGAGTTTATAGGTATATAGGTAAATTCTACTAAGTATGAATGTTTATTGTATCCAAAGCACCGATTAAGAAAGTATTGAGAAATTAGTCATATTGTAATAATATGTTTTTTAAAGAAAATAAGTACAATTAATTAAAAAACAAAAAATCTAGAAATGCATAATTATAATTTATTTTATAACAGCAACTAAAAAGCCTTTAGACTCCCTTTTTAAGGTGAAATCTACGTGAAACCACGATATTATAATTTTATGAATATAAATCATGGTTACTCTACTTATTGGTAAAAGAACTGGGTGCCTATATCATGTCCATGTATATAGGAGATAACGTATTCTTAAAGAAAGTCACGCGAATTTTTATAAGAAAGTTTGTATCAAATGTATCGCGACATGTTTTATTCATCATCGCGTGTAAGCCCTGCATGGCATCGAGGTAACTTTTTAAAGTGATCTGTGATAAGGATTTTTTTTTACAAATTATATTAAACCATAGTTGGTGCTAGTTCGTTTTTATATAAAAAAAGATTGAGTAAACTGACAACTACAGTATTATTTAACTGAAATAAGTTTCATCAAAACCTATTAACTTTGCCTTACATCCATCTAACACGGTTAATAACGTCTTTTCAAAATGAGCTCTTTGCATAATAAGCTTGCAATAAAGCACAGACTAGATTAGGAGCAATAGCAAAACTAACTTTAAAAGCCTTTTAAAACGCGGATTAAGGTTAGTCTTGGTTTAAACCTAATGTTGTATCTGTCTTCTTTTTAGCAAACAAAAGTGATAGCATCAGTTTTAGTCCAGGTTTAACTTTAGTCTACGTTTTTTAATAAGGCGGTGTGTCTCTAATGCATCTTTTAATGCTTGTGTTCACGTACCACTAGACACACCAGTCCCCGTAGCATGAGCACCACAATTTACATTATATCACGTTTTTTATCGCATTTAACTGTCAAACTCAATCAATAGTAATCTGACAATTGAGCGTGATAAAAACGCGTCATATCTCATATCGCGGTGCTCATGCTAGGGGGGCTGAGCAGACTCACCTATCTTTATCGACGTGTGAAGCGTTCGACTCAGCAGTAGCGTTCCTAGTCTCGAGGGTCGAGGTGTCAAGGAGCAAGGAGTCGGAGATGCGGACGATAAGGATGTCCCCGATTTGGATGTCGGCAGCGCCTTCCCACGACACGATGACCGGGGGGCACTCGTCCTCCGCCCCCGCCCCCGCCCCGCACTCCTCCGAAATCCACAACACAAAGTCACACACATATTAATTAATTATGAAGTCAACCTTTGTGAAACGGTTTTCGTGAATGCAAATTGAAATGGTCCGTAGGTACGCTTTATTATTCACGTTGAACATAGCGTTCATTTGAGAAACATAATTTAAATATTAGGTGACCCATTTCATCGTAAAAGCTTTATTTAAATTTGCTAGTTTTCTTAAGTTATAAGAACGATCATAGCTTAAACTCGATCTCCTTCATAAACACACCCACATATGTTTTTATGGATTAGAAAACGAAAAAATCTTCCAAAGACCTTGGCAGGCTTAAAAATCTTTCATGCCAACCAAATCAGAACATAATAAGGATTAACTATAAATCGTTACAGTCGTTTTTAGTAGCCGCGGAACTTCTCCAACAAAGAGGAATAAAATAAACAATTTTTAGTTTTTTTTTATGTTTATGTATATGCATGCGAAACGAGCTGGCAAACCACCTGATGAAAAGTAGTTACTGCCGTTCAGGGACACTTGCAGCATCAAGGGTATTCATGCGTTGCCGGCTCTAAAGGAAAAGGTTTACCCGCCTTTTGAAGACAATAATGGAAATCCAGAATCAGTGGCGAGAAGCAAATCTGCTTCCAAGGCAAAAAATCGCGAAATCAATCCCAAGCAGCTGAACCATAATTGGAGTAATAAATTAGCGCTACGCTACCATAAAACAATTGTTTTGATGCCACAAAAATTAAGTGCAAGTACAACACAAAAATTACTGTATATCAAAATTGAATTAAATACTAAGGCCATTGAAATACTTCATTATAAACATAGAGCAATACCGTGTACACGGAAAATAGCAACTAAAGTGGCGAATTACTACTGTGTTCAAATTTTCATTGCCAATTTTAACCGCTTAGTTTCCTTTTCTTGACAGTTGATTTGGGATAGCTTTTGTTCATGGTAGTATGACCCCTCATTTATGTGTCACTATAAAGTTATTAATTACCTACTACGAATTTATTTTAATTGTTAAACAAATCATATTGATTCATATTTTTTTAAACACAAATTAGTCAAAACCTACGTTTTCCAGAACCAGAAGTCTAAATATCAGGATTAAATAGACAAATGTCGGGATTTTGAGATTGGTGTCCGGAGGATTACATTATATTTTACAAAGGAATAACCTAAGTTATTTCAGTCTTCAATATCAAATTCAATCCTTAATCTGATACTAACGACCCGAGATAAGCGATTAATAAAAAGTTTGTTACCTACACTATAAGAACGAAGAACATAATAATAATATTATATTATAATGAAAATGACACTCTTAATGAAGTTCGAAAAGTTTCCATTTGCTTATATTAAAGGCCAACAATAATAGTTTTTTTTTTATGTACCTACCGACTTTTTCTATTGTATAAATAAGAGTCGAACATTAAGTAAAGTCTAGTAGATTTATAAAGTAAAAGATTAATCAAATGCAAATAAAATGCCTTTCATATTACCTTGGGCTACAGTAACTATTTAGCATTAAACGATACGTTTATAAAATGACAAAGCTTTATAAAAGACTGCTGGTAGCAATTTCCGACAGTATAACATGGCTATTTTCTGAAATCATAATACATTATAGCAAAGTTATATCATTGCGGCGAAAGCGACGAGGTCGAATACATAAGCCATAAATCCTCTCAGAGCAAAAACGACGAAAAGCTCTCTTTCTTGAGCGGTTGAACTCTGTTCATTATTTCTTTTAAGGAAAATGTTCTAGCTCTTTACAGCGCACGAGAGTGGCGGCAGAGATTATACTCCCATAACAAGTTGCTTTTCTTTATTCATCCTTAGTCGTTGGAATGACGTTGTTCGTCTTTTGTGTTCGATTTTTAAGGAGCAGTGAACACTCAAAATCGTCTACCTTTGTGGACTCAACTTGATTATACTTGAAATATGAATTCTTGATTTATTTATTTTGATTTCTTATTTTTTTTTTGCGTAGAGGTTTCACTGTCTATTTAGTAGTACTAGTTTCAAGCCGGGATTCGAACTCCGGACCTCAAAATTAACAAACTACGCCTCGAAAACCCGGTGTAGGTACATTATAGGGACCACTCTACCTCGGAAATCGTTAACTTTCATTGGTACATATAAATTATAAAATAAGTTTGTTGTCTTTATGAAGTCTATAATGACACTAGAATCCATCGAGCCATATCTGCAAATTAACTAAAGTTGATCGTCCTTGTTACTATCTCGGACCAGAAAATCACGGGTCATAAATTTACTTCTCATTTTGCAGCGAACGTAATTTATGCTCTCATTCGTAATGTATATTCTTCAGTAATGTTTTTTCCTTAATTATTATAATGAATACTTATATTAAGTGTATTAATAGGTAATGGTTTAGATTCTGGCATGATTCTCTAAACCTAAACTTAAATTTGACAACAGTGTATCCTTGTCACTGATCACAATTACTATTTTTAATTTCAAATGTTTAATACTTGTAAAGGTATTAATTTGACATTGCGGATTACCTATGAAGGCTAGAGAAAATTCAACACAGCCATCAGGGCTGCGGTAGCATAATGGTTAGTAAATTCGCCAGGATATCGAAAGGTGCGGTCAATCAAGTCCCGTCTGCTCCCTGGTCCACGTGGAATTTTTTATAGTAAAATTTTCTTAATATTTAAGTATGAACTTATTACTCTTTGTTTTTCAGTTTCCTTGGCGGTTTAATTTTTTTAGGAACAAGTTTTTTGTCATCTTAAATATTGAATGTTAATAGTTGCGCTGAAACCGTGGTCGAGAGGAGTAGGATTGGGTTATTATTTACAAAATATCAAGTGGCTTGATCAACCAAAACAAGTTATGAATGAATTTTTAATGAATTTAACACAATAGTATTATTTTTTTATTATTAACATGCAATATCAATATTTGCTATAAATAAATTATATTATATCATAATACTTATGTCTATGTATGTAACATATAATATATTATGCATTACATAATAATCTTCGAAAATATTACACTCTTTTTTGGTAGTTGTGTAACAAGGTAAAGGCTTAACTGTACATACATTTCTTTAGATTTAAAATAAAATAAAATTGAGGCCACACAATTTAACGACACACATTTCATTCACATTTCCTCCACTCTATAGAAAAAACTCTGTTCGAAACGAAATTCCTTTCAACCTAAACCAAACTACGTGAAGCGATCCTAGTAGGTACTGTGGGATTATGGAATCATAACAAGTTTCGTTTCTTATTCATCTGTAGTCGCTCCGAGCGCTCTCACGCCCGAGTTTAGATGAAGTAGATACCATTACGTATGGAAGTTACGAGTATCCCAGTAGATTAAGCGGTACAGTGTACTACGTTCGCTTTTTATTGCAGTACACTGCATAAAACGGAGAGTAACGGAATTTCAGGGCTTCATAATATTGTTTGTTGGAGTTTTCCTGTAATTTTTTTCTAAAAAAAAAGGCCTACATAATATTTTTTGATGGAGTTTTCCTGTAATTTTTTTCTTGTGTCCTGAAATCCTTTTAATTAAAAATTAATTTTTATTTGATTGATTTCGTTAAGCACATAATATATATATATATTGATTGTTATGAGAAAGTTCAAAATTTTTTGCTAACGCAGTTTTTGTGTCTGAAATAAGTCACTATGCGCAAATAATGCCTCTTCAATTACGCCGTGACGTGGCGTCACTAAGCGCGTTCTATGGTCTGTACCACGGCGAGTGTTCTGAGGAGTTATTCTCTCTTATTCTACCTTCTGCTTTCCTTCTGAGAACCACGCACACTGGTCTTCGGTGCCACCGTCTAACTGTGCCCACAATTCCAACGCATACAAAGAAATTTGGTGAGTCCTTTCTATGTCACATTATCTGTAAATGGAATGCGGCGTGGTGTGGCCGTGTGTGTGGCAGGCAGAACTGCTGTACTAGCTATCTTCACGTCTGGACTTCACCGTCACTTAACATCAGGTGCGGTGGAGTCATTTGTCAGACCTATCTATTAAAAATAAAAATAAAGGAAATGATATTTTCCTCTATTCATATTTGAAAAACATTTGGGGTGTCTTATATCTGGCAACTTCCCAAAGGAATATTATTCCTGAGTCCGTATTATCTGTATTTTCATCTTATTAATTTCAAACTAAGCGTAAACAGTAAGTTAGCCAGATGTATTAAGCCTGTTTTATAAGCTTAAGTGGAGTGTTTTTAGTGATTTTATTTCATTTCGTTGGCAAATACTTCTTTTTAATATTTTTAAGGGTCATTATCATGGTAAATAACTTATTTTTTTTTTCATATTTGGTACCTATATTAACATGCGCACGTGATAAATTTTGGCAATCATTCTTATGCTTATTTTTTACGTCTATACCAAAATCCGAATGCGTTTTTGTAATGACTATAAACTTAATTTTATTGCTTTTCAGTGAAGTAACTAACAAATCATTAAATTTGTACATATTTTTATACATTCAAAACTTGAGAAGATTCATAAAAAAGTAATTTATCAAATTATTCATAACCAAATCTTTTTAGTAGGACTAAAGACATGGTAATGGTAGAACTTTAGCAAAGCTTTCTTAATCGCTGTCAAACTTCCAGCAAAATTGCTCATTATATTGTTTTTATTACACGACTGTCAAAAAAGGAGCGTCTACTTTTAGGGTCTACGTATAAATTGTACAATTTATGAATTTGCAAATTGAAGGCCTTGATAAACAAATTCCAAAATGAGGTTTACACAGGATGTTCACACAATCATTTCGTTTTTACTGCAAATGGCACTAAATAACGTAAAATAAAAATAATTTAAAAAATCATGACTGCCCTTCCAAAAGCCTAACATAATCTTCTAAAAATTAATTATATGAGACTAAATATGATAATGATAACTTAAGAATATTTTAACTTGTAAGAAACTGAAAAATAACTACTTTGGTCAAGTGTCCAAATAAATTATTTTTGTACAAAAATACAAAAGTATTCAATAATAATACTTAAAAAACCAAAGTGTATTTTATATTACTGTATATTTCACTAATCTAAGATTCAGTGTCATTTTGTCTTACCGTTAATGGAAAATTCAACTCGTGAGTCTCATTGCCGCGCCACAACCGCGACTCCCGCGGCAGCACGGGCAGGTCGCACTCCACCGCGCCCAACCGCTCCTGCAGCCGCGGCGAATGCGCCCCTGCACTAGTCCCATCCACTTTTTCCTTCTTTGCACTTTTCGCCGCACCTCTTGTGCTCGGATACACTTTAGTCGCACGAACCGTAGTCGGTCTCGAGTACGCTTTTGTTGTTTTAGTGCTTTCGTCTGCCGCCGGAGTTGCTGTAGTCAGCGCTGCGCTGAATCGTAATGGCTTCACACTCGGCTTTGTTTCAACAGACGTAGTCATGGGGCTTTGAGTACTAGAACTAGCTTTGATCTCATCGTGAGCTGCTAAAGTAACTTCACAGACACAGACGCCGGCTAATGGCAATATTAACACAATTGCTATTAGCAAAAAGCGCGTAGTCGTCTGTCGGCTCACACAACTCTCTAAGTAATTCATTGCGATATTGTTTTTGTCAGCGTCCTTGCCCTTATTATTTAAAAGGCGCCTTTAGCCTGTTTGGCACTTCAATGGCGATTCGAAACCTGCCAACAAATAAAGTTACGTATTATGTGTTTAAAGGTAACTTCATGAATCTTCTCTGAAGTCATTATTCAACTTGATGACTCTGTAAATAATAATACAGGGAGAAAAAAACAACCCTTGCTAGGTTTCTGGCCGATTCTTCTCAGTACAAGGTCTCAAGCCGTAAAGTTACGAACCGATGGCGTAGCTTCCAGACATTCATGAATGCTTGTAACAGCCTAAATAATGGTTATATTTCTGTCTATAGCAACGTTTGAAACTATGTAGGTAGTATAATTTTTACTAAAAAGTATGCGAACAAAGACAAGGTAATTATGAAACATAAGCTAGTTGCTTAGTTGTAGTCTAAAATATATATCACTCAAATACATATAAATCTATAATACTATAAATTATTATTCTATACTGTAGTCGGTAGATGTAGTCGAATATTAATAACTCGCTTTGTATTAAACTAAAATATACAGACTCGACGTACCGACTTAGCCCACTTTTCAATTTAAAACTACACATTCAATATTATTATATTTAGTTTGTTAGCTTCGCACCTACTACAAATCTATAATATTACTTGTAAACGGCTGTTTACATGTACATAATATTGTACATTTGTAGTTGTTGCCAATATAAAGTTTTTTTTTAATCTACTTTCAATATAGGTACTTTAGATTTAAGTTTAGTTTTCTTTAGAGTGGTTCCATTGTCAAATTAGAAATTTTAAATATTTGTAACTAAAAAAAAATAATAAAATACCCACCAGGGTTCCCTATATTCAAGTTCAATATCGTTTTACTTTCAGTGAAACTCCGTTGTACTCCAAGTACCCTCATGACTCATTATTCAAACTCAAATAAAAATATATCGATAAAGGTAGCCGCAATGAAAGTGTCAGATAGCCCTTATTGCCAATAATGTAAGGGATGGACATCCACCCTGAAAACATCTATAATTGGACAAGCTGTAGAGTCCTCACCTCAAGTGCTGACCCTCTTCAATCAAGAGTAGACCTTCAATAAACTTTACTCACTCGATTTGCGTGTTAATAAACTTTTCTTCTATGAACAATCTTTATGATTTTCTGACTTTTTCTGACCATCACTTTTTTCTTTTATTTTTGTAGTTGTAGCCAACAAAGTAAAATAAAATAAATATAAGAGCAAACGTAACATGATACTTTAAAAGTTACTTACGTAATCCTGTTCTCAATATTGCAGCTACACGTTTTTTCATAAAAATAAAATAACTAAATATCTGTGAATGGAGTACGGTAAATTTGCAAAAAAATAGGTAAAGCCCAGCTTTATCTCATGCAACCACTAAAACGTAAGTCGTTTTGTCCATTCGCACATTCAATTCAACGATGCACAGACGGTTTAATATTTTGATTAGCGAAGAATTTGTAAGATGGGAATGGTTGTAAGGTTATTTATTTGTGTTTTGTTGAGTAATGTTTTGGCAGGGCGGCGAGCGGCGCAGGGCGGGCGGCGCGTTCCTCCGCAGCCTCCGCGGCACTGAGGCGGCGGCGCCCCTCGCCTCACCTCCCTTCGCCCGCACCCCTTACGCGCCTTCTATGCGACTAGCTTTACTTAATTTTACTCCACGCTAGTAGGACCACCGATTTCCCTAACGGGACTCAAACCGCCAGCTATTTCGGGATTGCGTACCTAATTCTGTGACGTAAGTAGAATTATCTTCATTCTATTTCGTCAACAAAACTTTGTTTGATTACATTTTTCTAATGTACACACATAATTTTATGTAGCAGCATAGCTGTTAATCATTGTTTATTCAATTAATTACATCGTTGACTTAAATTAAGTTTTCAAAATATTAATATATTATATTCAAAATATATAATTCTACTTGAAACATTAATAATTTTAGAGAGTTAATTAAAAATCTACTCCAGAAAGGGCTTGTGCCTGCGACCTTTTGTTTAACTGTAATCGAAAAATCTTGTTAAAATTACTTAGTACTTAATTAAGAGGGCATTCGCAGTAATAAGTCAGTGACGAAAAAAACAATTAATATCCTGTCTTTATCCACCCTCGTAAGATTGATGCATCAGTTAATCGCTGCTAATTAAGTGGAGCTTTGTTACAGTGATGTAGAGCTTTCTTTGAAGCTTGGCACTGCGGTTGAATGTTGTATGACCACAGTGTGTATACATTTTCATTTCTGTGTTTCTTTGATCTCTTTAGATATGGATTGTTTGTGTGCATAAAAATAGAACCAGGCAAGTATTGACAATAATTTGTTTTTGTAGCTGTTTATTTTTGATAATACTTCTGGGCGACTTGTTTGGGCTAACTGGGCAGCGTTGTGTTTGGGCGTCGACGACCGTAGCTAATCACTATTATAATTATAAATACGTACTATTTTTATGATAAAAGGGTGGAAAGAAAACAAGCGTATGACCCGCCTGATGATAAGCGGCCTCCATTGCCTAAAGACGCTTGCAATACCAAAATTATCACTCGCACTATTGCCTACCCTGACCCAATCCCCTACCCCGTGGTGCCCTGGACCCTTAGGTACCTACCGTAGAAACAAAACACCACCAAAAGGAAGTTATTTTACTATAATTTTCTGTAAGGTGGAGGTTACTTGCACAGATGGGCTCTCTATGTTGATGTTACTAAGAACGCTAATTTACTGGATGCTTCATCAAATAGGTGTTTTTCTCTTAATTCTTTAATAGGTACGTATCTAAATAACGAGGAAAAGAATTACGTATGTACATAAAAAAAATGTTTCGTTAGTTTTGTTTACTATATCATTCTATCCACCTTGGCTTGTCCAGCACATAGGTAATCAAATTCATTGCATGAATAATATTATGCGTACATACAGTTCTTAAAGTTTTTCAGAAAATTTGATAATTTCAATGGAATTATGAATTTAGAATTTAATTTTCAAAAAAATAAAGAGATCGGTTGTTAATTTTTCTTTTTTTACCTATGCATTACAAAGTTTCAAAATATACATATAATATAAACCTCCTCCTTTTTAAAGTCGGTTAAACATGTCAGTTATGTACGTCACATATTTGAGTTTACAGTATTATCACTTCATAAAATAATTTTTACCTTTACCTATTCCTACATTACCTACGTAGGTACAATCAGCGGATATTACTAGAGTAACTGACCCGCGTTAATTTAATAGGGATTAAGTAAGAAATATGATTCTTTCTATATTTATGTAATGGTCTACTAAATCTTACCTGAAGAATTATGTTTATTTCGCTTGGAAGCTTTTTCGCTGTGCATAACAATAGGATAGGAGCAACAGAAAAATATTGAAGATGCCATAACTATACTAGCTTTCACGTGCAGATAAGAAAATTCTATCCGCGGACAGGTGAAAGTACAAAAGTCCTAATAATTCTGTCCAAGATATACCTATCCCACCACAAAGATTTTCATGTAAAATGTTGCCAAGACGAGACCATATGATTCGCACTGTCAAAAACTTATCAGATCTCTTGTAGAGTCAAGCTAAAATCTATGTACACGCCCTAACTTCTTCTTCAGCTTCACAAAACATCACAAATCACAAACTCTACATTTTACGTAAGGGGAAAAATTGATCCACTTTTCATTACTTCTGTTAAACAACAGTTCTTGTAGAAACGCATAGATATTTGAGAGGTATATAGCGGATTTTCCGCTGGAATTACAGCGATCGTCTGATGAAGCAAACAACCTCCACAAGTCTGTGTTCAATTAACACTATTCCTTAATGTTATATCTTTGCAATAGGGATGATGACTAATTTTTTTCTTCGTTTATCAGGTAGATTATCAAAAAGTATTGGACACATAATTTTTCTTTTTTATCATAATATAAACATTGCAGAGATATATTGATTTGAAAAGTCGCATGACGTCACGCTTTGGTACAATTTTCACTTAAAAGTGACGTCACGAGCCCCTACTCCCAAACTTTGAGGCGCTCTAAGTTTGTCATTTTTTGGTTGATTGCCCAAAGAAAAAATACGTGTCCATTATTTTTTGATCATCTAATTGACGGAATTTCGTTTAGTGTACCCCGTCATCACCCCTTTGAGAGAAGTTTTCAGGGCTCCGCGATTTAGGGAAAGAGGTCAGGCTAAGCAAAGCATATTATAGGATTATAGCAAACGTCTCTAGGTTATGATGGCCACTTGCCATCAAGCGGACCATATGTTTATTTACCACCCTATTCCTATTCTACATAAACAATTGTCTGAAAATAAAAGTAGAAGAAACTCCAACAACAATTTCCAAGGTTACCTTGAAATTATTGTTATTTCATCGCTCAAAAAGCTACTTATTAAAATTTAAGTATGTTCTTTATAACCAAGACAATTTTAAGCTTATACAAATCTACGTCTAGTATTGTATAAACTGCGACAAAGCTTAATAAACCTATAGAAATTCAACCTTCTTGAGAAAAGTAGAGCACTCTGCTGCGTTTGTCATAAAACTTTATTATATTTCGACAAAGATTTCCAATGAAATCTGTATGAAACGTGTTATAGGGAAGAAGGAGCAGGTGGTCTTATATAACGAGATTGTATGTTTCATAAAGGTATTGATCAAAATATGCTTAATTTTTTTTATCCAAAAATGACAAGATAATTGATTCATCATACAACATCAAATTGAACGAGTTCCTAATATATCTGACAGAATCTTGTTGCTGCAAAATTCATTTGGCATAACGCTTGGCATAATGTTCTTTAAACGATTATTTTAAGCATATTTTTGTTTGGCCGGTTGTTTATAGGTCCTAATTTTCAATGGTATACTTTTAAGATGGATTGGCAAATTGTATTGCATAATTTCATTGAAAGCTCAATAATACAAGGCAGACCCCAAATGAACTTATTATAAAAATTGAAAATCAAATTTGACAGATTTGTATGAGAGTGCGTAAAATGGTCACATATATCAAACATCATTACTGTCAAATTGACGAATACAAAAATTAAACATAGTTTAAATGCTTCATCCAGTGTCGGCATTTTAGACCTCCTGGAATAGAAGTTAGTTAGTAGCAGGCAGATATAAACGAGTTCGAGTCCCAGGGGCGGTGTCTGCCCGGCGTCCGATTGTAAACACGCCTGATGCCGCCAACTCGGCCCGGCCCGAGGTACGGTATTTATTACATTACATTCCATTC